ATAATAGACCTAATCCTAAATTTGTAGATTTGTCATGCTATAACTGCCTAATCTATAAGATCTTACGTGGAAGTCACACCATCGACTACACCAACTCACTGTATCGCATCAATTACTAATACATGATGTAGAACAAGGTTAGGCTACAGAAATAACAATATATTTAATATGAGTAGAAGATATAAGATAACATTCAGCAGAGACCACGCCTGTATGGCCGAGCCATGCCACTCGATCAACTCCAGTCCATTCAATTCATTCTTCGCGCCTTCTCCACTGTTAGGTATTTCTCCGTGTTGAATATTGAATATCTATTTTCTGAGTAGCCTTGTGTTCAGCTTTGAAGATTGTGTGGTTATGGTCTAATGCCACTACAGATCTCTATGGAAACCCTGAACAAGATTCAAGAAAGGAAGAACAAAAAGACGGCAATTAACAACAGCCGAACAATAACAGAGAAAGTCAATGCATAAGCTGAATACAATGAAACAAACAAGCAAGTGAATAGAAGCATTAACGCCGACAAGCATAAATACGTGGAAAAACTAGCAACGGCAGCAGAGAAAGCTCCACGAGAAGGAAATATGAGACAGCTATATGACACAACGAAGAAACTAGCATTGAAATATGGTAAACCAGGGAGACCTGATGAAAAGCAAAGAAGGCAATCACCGAGATTCAAGGACAGAGGAATAGGTGGGTAGAGTACTTCGAGGAACTCTTGAACAGAGCAGCTCCATTAAACTCACCGCACATTGAAGCAACACCCACAGACCTTCCAATAGATGTCACTGTACGGAGCTCAAACTTCGAGAACTACTACAACCATCATCAAGAAGGTACAAATATTTGTGAACAATTGTCTACACAACGTACTCAATGTCCGTTGACCACATACCATCGGCGACAACTTACTGTGGGAGAAGACGAACCAACTTCCAACTAGGCAGGAAATTAGAGAAAGACGTTGGAAGTCGATAGGACATCTATTAAGGGAATCACCAAGCCGCATCACAAGGCAAGTGCTAACCTGGAATCCTGAAGGGGAACGAAAAAGAGGAAAGCCAAAGAGCATACTGCGTTGGGAATTGGAAGCAGACATCAAAGGGATGAATAACGACTGGAAAGGATTGCCCAGGACAGGGTTGGATGGAGAATGCTGGTCAGCGACCTGTGTTCCTCCACGAGAGGTAACACTCGTCAATAAGTAAGTAGGCGAAATCACCGAAAATGTTAACTTCACATTCAACGAGTTTAGGTCACAAAAGACTTGTATTTGAAGACATTTACATACAAATTCATACAAAAGGCACAAATATTTTACACTTGTGTTTTTGTGATGCATAACGACAAATCATGGGAATAGTATCATATTCAAAATTTTCGAATTTTCTGGCGTCAGGGCATGCTCCAGCAAAACATAAAGCTCTATCGGAGAATCCCTTCTAGTATTGTCAGCCAATTAATATATATAAGTACTTTTAATTTAATATCCAAAAGTTTTGAATCCTGATTCCGGTAACATCTTGTTCCACAAACTAACAAGTCTTTTTTAATCGAGGGTGTCAACGTTCAAACCTCAACATTGCTCAGAATACCGTTGTTGTATAATATTGGTGGGTAGGATGTGACCGCCGAAACATCTTTAAGGGCGTAAGTAATCTTCTGGGCACTTGACATTCCAAATTTTAGTCGTCAGGTGGAATTACAGATCAATTAACACACTTGATTAGGACGTATATTTGCAGGACTTTAAACAAACAAATATTTCCGAAGTTATCAGCTGGCCATTCCACAGTAATTTTATGATTTGTAGTGAGATCCGAACGTCACCTCCTCCTTAGAAGAGACCTGACACAAGATCTGTTCAACATATAATAAATAATAGTGGCGCGACAACATCGCATACAGAGTGTGCGAATGCATGAATACAAACAACCTTATACTTAAAAGTACTATGTTAAGGTTATTCAATACCACTTTTGTGTTGAACATTTTCCTATACTATCCTCAGCTCTTGCAGCAAAATGCTTATAATGATTTCTCAAAGACTGGAAGGAGTTTTCTCTTTATAAACCTTCTTGCCTATCGTAAATGGATCTCCGACTCCACACGGTATGGATGGATTTATATGAATCAAGTCAAAGTAGGAGTATTAGTAATTTAGTGTGGAATACTATTCTGCGTCTTTAACAATGTGTATAATTACTCTCAAATGAGGCTTTTGAATTTCTTTGGATCACTTCACTTGATAATGAATTCCACGGCGGGAATACACGTGAGGATTATGTTTCCCTATAGTCCAGCACACTGCTCGAAACCTCCTAATGGACACTATAAGCTGATGATGCCAGATCAAGCGTCACTACTAGCTCATAGCAGGAGCTAACGTAAAACTATTTCCTTTTGTTAGCTACATAGTTAGTATGGATATGTAAAACTCACACCACAAAGCATTCCGACAAAGGATGTGATAGCTAGATTTATTTGATCAGTTCAATCAACTGAATTTTGTGATATGTTCTGATATATCATTGTCTAGTTGTCTCTATCTGTTAATCTTGCTCCACTATTCTGCTGACCTATAAAAATTCAAGATGCATTAAGTAATTGACGTGTTGGACGGTTTTGACTCATTTCAGTATAATGAAGATCAGACAAATCTTATGAAGACCTGAACTTATTTAAATGCAAGTTATGGATATTGTATTGTCAGTGTTATTTCTATTTCACAAAATCGCCAGTGATTATTCCGCCAATGTATAAGACAACCCTTTATAATTTCGAGGTCCGTGTATGATATTTATCCAATGCTACCATAACTTTAGTTCCCTTTTGTCTATTGAACCGCGAACCATGTTTATTACTAATCTACATGTCAAGCAAATCAACGGCTGGAACATAGATTACGTGACTTTACTATTTCAGTTCTTATTTAGTACATTTGGCATAACTGTGGTAATTGTGCTAACTGATGACTCCTTTTTACTTGATTACACGTTAATTACAACTTCTAAATATAACCCACCTAGTTGTGCTCATCTATTATTACCTACCTTAAATTGCACTATTTCGGAAATCCTTAGTTTTTTCAAAAATCCTCATCACAATAAAAGACTAATATATGAACGATGAATATTCTTTTCGATAAATTCCCATCAGGTCCTACAAATATATATTCGGATTAATAATCCGAAAACTGGTCAGGTTTAGGCCGCGTTCAACGTTTGAAGTTATAGCATGTGAATTTAGGATTGTTAAACAAAATAAAGTCGTTAATGTTGGGATGATTCATATTCATCATTTACTTGAGTCAGCCTATACGTCAAGTGAAATGTTAAGATTCGTGATTAGAAAAAATATGGGTCGGACATGGTGATAGAAATAACAGTGCAATTACAAATTAGATCAGATGTTTAGCGGAAGACTACGTTGTGTAAAATTTCTATGTGAAATCAATTAAGAATAATCAAGTGGGATGAATATCAAGTAAATGCATCATGTATTCGGAAGATTAATAATGACGTTAAACCAATAACAATAACAATATACATAAATGTGAATAAATATAATAGAGACAATTATATTTGACCAACAAAGTTTGTAAGTACATTAATTAAACTGGGTCATTCAGTAGCCAAGATTACCACTGATTATTTATCACTATTGATGGCCAGGTTGGGATAAACAGTTGAAGATACTCCGTTCACACAGCTATGGCTTCTTAATCCGGGTGGCTACTGCTTCCGCAGCGTTGAATGATTTTTGGATTGTTCCTCATAATCTCCAGATTAATATTTTGCTAGCCGCATCCTCTCTGGCTTGTGGAAGCATGAACTGGAATTTCTTGTTCACCGTGTTTTTCACCTGGTCTAACCTTCGTGACCACATATTTGTTTAGAATTTTTCCAGGGTATCCGTCTCTCCTTAAGTGTATTACTCAAGGCGTTCAGCTCTTTTTAAACCATATCCGTGGAATATATAGTATGTATTCGATAGCTAAGAGTTTTGGTCAGGTTTCTTCTGAACCATAGAGGTACAAAAGCAAGCAAATGTGCGTACTGTCCTGTCAAGGTATGTTTTATTCTTTAAGTATCTTCTTATTGGTCCATCAGTTCATTCGGTTAAGAGAACGTTTAAAAGATTATTCTAAATCCGCTTTCTTCTCCAGATGTAAATTTAATGGTTAGGTGTACTTCAATGAAGTCAATTCGAATGCCACTAATTATCATAGCAGCATCCAGAAAACAGTTTATAAGTATAAAATCCTCTATTACTGCATACAGTATTTTCAACTGTAATCTTGAAAATCCATCGAAAGTATTACTGTAATCCAGTGTCTTTGATATTTTCATCATTTCAGTGACTTTGTATTCTTCCCATTTCATTTATCTACATGATATATTAAGTTCCGAAAAGGGACAGATTCACAGTTCCCGAATTAGTGTGACAGATCACGTTGGGCTCGCCTTCAGAGATGCCACAAGCATTCAGAGTTTGACAGTACCTTAACTAATAGCACATTTTGTTGTTAAAATGTTCCAGCACAGTCGAATCAAGAGTTAAATGAGAAGAGGTCCTGAGATATATTGGATAGGCTACCGATATATCAAGAAGTGATAAATCTAAGCTGGCTGGTGGTCGTAAGAGACGTGAAGCACAGCCTACTTTATCGTGATCTGGTGCGGATGCGTAACCGAGCGCCTTCAGCTAGTTGAGCCCATTACAAATAACGCGTCTGCATCAACAGTCGAGGGCTTACAGAGCTATTGATTTTGGGATTAATTTGCCTTCATCGTGATACCCTCACCTCTAGATCATGCTTATAAAGTTACATTAATGAAGAACTAATACGAGGCCTCGGAATCTGAACAAATGTGAAATCTTTGTCTTTGGTTTTCAATTTGGTCCTAAGTGAGGGAGTTTCGACATTTTCTAGGTCACTTTGATATTTGTTAACAGTTGTAAATGACGAATTGAATGTCCTCTAGTTTAAAGTTATGCAGAATGCTCACTTCATAGTTAGTCGTGCCATATTAAGTTCTACTAAGGACACATTTCGACGTTGCTTTAACTTGTCTACCAAACATTTATTTACTACGCCTTACTTGGTCCATAAAATCAGGATATCACGTCACACTCGCATTGATTTATTCAACAGGAATTTTAGCTCTTCAGGTCCCAAGAGTATTACCGATTCTCCAGTTGAGAAGATCAATGCTAAAGGTAATAAAAAAACTTATGATAACTAGTTGGTCAGTGGTTCCAAAAATTAAAACAAGCTTTTCTTATGATGATTCTGTCAAGTCTGTGAAGTATATCACACCACTTAGAGCATTACGAGAATATATGCTTACAAAACAGTAAGTTTCAAGTCCCACTCGAATTTTGTGTTGTTAATGCTTGAAGTGATTTAGATCAGTTACCACGTTATTACAGCCGAAGTCCGTATGGCAATGAAACTAAAACTCTTGTTTTCCTCCGATCAGATGTAGAGCAAATGTAATTCATCCAAATATCTAATGTTTCACTTCAAGGGCTTACGCAAAGCACGGAGGCCATGATGATTTTGAGTTACGACGGAAACTCATGAAGGATATGGAGCGAAGAACCAAAACAGGTAGGTATATAATTAATTTTCATGATCTCTTAGAAATCTTCAATTTAAGGAAGGCCTTAAAATACCTTCAAAACTCAGCAGAAGCCAAGGCGACTGAGACTTCGGTACGTCACTTGTCACTTCGTTGATATTAATTGGTGTTGCAAGAACCGAGAAAAATACTCAGTATTCTCTATTATTTTTTCCTTTATTTATAAACAAGGTATCTTTACCTGCGGATTCCTTGTGCCCTGCTTTCAGTTCTTAAGCGTAATTCGTGTTTTTTTGAGTTCGGTATAGCTAGCCTGGAGCGATTGCCTAGTAGTTAAAGCGTTCAGTTTAAAACACTAAGTACCAGGTTCGAACCCTGCTCCATCTACTTCGACCTGCGCGACCGGTTAGTATCATTACCTCTTGCCCTTAGGCTGTAGCTCTTAACCAGGTATTTGGTGGATGAGTTAGCTTCATCCTTATTTTTGTTAACTTACAAGCACTTGCCATTTGACTTCATAATCCTAATTCGCTAGTAAAGTACATGCCACCAATAGATGACTTTACATGTATTGCTTTTGGCCTTTTTAAAAAAACAACTGGAGTACCAAGTCTATTGTGATTCTATCACTTGTTTTTCCCTTCTCTAACTATATTCATTGTTATCTAAATGTTCTTTTACAAACTTCACAGCTCTACAAAAAGCTGCATATTTGTAGTCCTACTAGTTATCGACTTTGATGTATGAACATGGTAGTTGTGTTAATCGGTATCGTAACCCTTCCAACTTTTGCCAAGGTTTTAGTAAAGGATATTACTTAATATAACTAAACTCTAACTTTTTTGAGTTACTGTGCAAACTCGATCTTCATGTATCATATCTGTTTCACCGCTTAATCGAAATACCTTATCCCTGTTTCTATGATTACGGCATTATCATGTAATCGTAAATAGTATTTTCAAATATTTAATATTTTTTCTGCTACAGGTTTTTATGGATAAACGGAAAAGTTTGTTTACGTCGGGCCCTGGTCGTGTTGTTCTTTTCGCAATAGCAATGTGAGTTATTTAGATAATTTCGACTAGCTCATTTGCTTACTGAATTTTGCAAGACTGTCTTAGTTGTAGCTCCGGCAGCTGCACTAACCTGTGATTGATTTTAACTGAGTCGTTTTAGAGACCATATGAAGGTTTTCCTATTCTGGAGCACATTTTTTACCTATTAAATGGTTTTTAAGTGTTTGAGGGTATAAAACCTACAGTCATTGGTTCTGGTTTACAATGGTGCCTACTTTCATGCTACTGAGGACCACCAGCCAATAAATCCTGGAGTTAGTGTTTAGTAAAGACGTTCATTGGTTCCTGGATTTTTAAACTTTGATTGCCCAAGGTGATCAACATCTGTTGCACATTCTACTATACTCTGTACTATGACATAGTAGTGTTATTATTATTTGTTATTCGAACACATCAATACTGGTACAAGGGGGTAGCAGATACATATGCGCTACACAAATCTCATTTGGTTTGTGTGAGGGCTGTAATACTGTTCGGGTACCCAAACCGAAGCAGGTGGTTTTCTTAGGGGACCACACCCGTAGCCTTTGATCTAAAGGTCTGATCCACAAAGCAGTGAAGCATCGTAAGGAGATTCAGTCCCATGGTAGCCGGTGATCAATAATTGGTTCATACGCCATTTGTTCCTTCAGGATTCTGTAGCCTATGTGCACCATTGGTTCGGAAAAAGGGTTTTCCAACTCCCCTAGATGGACTCTCCATGTCCACCAACCCGGTTAAAGCGCCGGACATTCGCTTTTCGTCCTCTCAATTCCGTAAACAACACTCCTGCCACGGGAAGGCAGTGAGTAGGACTTCCCTGGCAGGGGCTATATACGCGTGGCCATGTGAGAGCATTTCGAGAGGGAGAGCGGACTCTCCCCACTCTCAGCAATACCAGGGCATTTGAGGGCACATAGTAGTGTCTGAAATAGAAGTAAAGCGAAAGTTTTTGAGTCATTAACATGGGGTAGAAGAATTATTCATAGAGTTAGTGGCTGTTGTATCAAGTTGTTAATATAGTGTCAACTCAAGTACAGTCCTCAAAACACACGAAGTAAAAGATTTTAATATTCTGTTGTAACTCAAATTCATCTATTCTTCATTCCTTTGTAATTAGTAGTCATAATATTTTCCCTAAAAATTATTTTACACATTAAGTTACCTTTTTGTAGTTTATTTACTGTCAGATATACAAGCTTCTCCATTATTTTTAATCGCTCAACATAGTTGAATATATCCTACTACCGTCTAATGCAGAAATATCGGGTATAGAAGAGTACAGTAAAGCTTACTCTATTAACAGGAAAGATTATCTTGTGAATAATTAAAAATAGGACATTATGAAAAGGAAAAATAGTGGAAAATAACAAAGTAAAAACATAGCTAAGATAGATTTTATTAATATTACTGTTTACTAAGAATGCGATCGCAAAATAACAATAGCTAACGAGTCCCATTGTATACGTGGCCATATCTATGAATTTTTGACCATATGCAACTATTATTGTACCATTCTAATTAACACTAAGAATACGGCTATATTTATCCTCATTTAGTGGAATATCTACCCGATGGTATTTTTTTTATTGTGGTTTTACTTGTGTTATATCCAGACAAAGAATAAATCAATGATAACTTCTAAGAATTATTTTTGGACTATTATTACATATATTCTTATTGTGTGACCATTAAGTAACCAGATTATGCATATGTTCATATTGCTTTTATCGTAAGCTTTCATTTGACCTATTATCTATTACTACACAATTTACTATTTTTAATTCATTCCCAATTTATTAGCCAAAATCTCCCATACTTACAGTCCCTTTTGGCTTGACCTTGTATAATAATAAATTCTTATTTTATGGTATTATGCGGTCTGATTAGCTTACATATAAATCACGTGTGTCTAAAATACACGATTCATGCAGCGGAGGCTGAAATTTGTGTTCTGGACTGAATGGGCTGTGCTAGGCGAGAAGTTACTCTACAGGGGACCAATAAGGACTCAGAGTTGACTCGAGACTGTTCGTGCTGGTTAACAGATCATTGGTTTAGCTCAGGGACAAGGTCATATAGTTCGATATTCCAATTGGCGATTTTGTCACGTGGTATTTAATGGGCCATAGGACATAACGTGAGGTGGTGAACGAGGTTTCGTATTTCGTATGGATAATTCGAATAGATGTATGTGCTTTATCTCTTTCACGTAGTATCTTCCTCAGCATAAGTACAAGTGTGTCATTAGTATTTTTTTATTTTATTATGAAAAGATGCCTGTTGATCCAAACATATTGAAAAATATACTATTATTCTCGATTGCTTATGTTATCGGAATTTGATGTTTATTTGGTGAATATTTTGAATTAGTTGATGTTACCTGTTAGTGGGCTGGCTTCCCTCTTGGTTAAAGTTTCCTGAGAGCACTGTGTCCTATTTTGTATTTATTTGTTTCTATTTATATTAATCAATTAGTAGTACTGTATATTCTATATTTTATTTCCAATAGAAATGGTCTCAACGTCGCTGCCAAAGCCTTCGGTTGGTGGTATACTGGTTCTAAAAGCATGTTTTCTGAGTTGATGCATTCGCTTGCGGATACGATGAATCAGGTACTCTTTTCTGTCAGTTCTCATTTTATACATACTATGTATCACTAGACTACCTATCATAAAATTCCGAAACTTTTACAGTGGCCATCACAAAACGTAAGGGTTATATTTTTTGTATAATCCAGTCGGACTTAGTAGCCAAAGAGAAGTATGTGTACCGGTTTTGGCAACAAAACTTTGTTGCTTGTGGTTCCTAGCATCAAGTCAACATGCATTAAATATTCGAACCCATATCTTTTCTATGTAACATTAGAAATACACTCGTATTGTTTCACGCCTGTAATATTAATTACCATAAATTATCGTGGGGTGTATACATTAGCACAAACAATACGAAAATAACGAAGCAAACTATTTTTCAATCCCTTTCAATTTAACTAACTGGTATTCTTATTCCTTTTAGTATCGTTATGAGAACATTGCCGTTGTCTTGGTGTTAATAATGTTCTTGTGATAAGCTACTAATAGGGAGAAACATCACAATTCTTTTGAGCTTTTATCTTCAATGAAAAACATTTGCACGCCCGGCGTCTTGCTAATAGAGATGGATTATTTTTAGTCACATACTAAAATTATAGTCTTTTCACTGTTTCAATATAATCTGAGCAATTCCGCTTTTACATGGCTTCACTATTTGCTGGCATTTTCATTAGCATTTTACCACCGGAGCTATAAAGGTACAACTATCATCCATGAATTTCAGTTTCCCATAAGTTTATTCTTCAATATTTTGCACTTATATCATCTACTTACAAGAAATCTCAAGAATATATTTAAATTTTACAAACAAAACGTGTTTTCGTTCAAGTGATCTAGTCATTTATTAAGGATTATGCACACATATAGAACGAAAATTAAATACTTTATTAAAGCTCTCGTCTGATTTGTTTTCGCACTTCATTGTGTTCTAAGCCTGATGAGATGATTTAAATAGCAGTATTTGACTCTGTTGACCGCGAAATTCTGCGGCAGTGTCTGTCATTGAAAGGCTTACCTCAGAAGTACACAAACCTTGTCAAAAATCTTTACTCAAACACTACTGGTTGAGTCAGGACTTATGGAGAACTGTCATCTGCTTTTGCAACCTCAAGTGGTGTCCGTCAAGGCTGTCCACTTTCTCCATTTTTGTTTAACTTCATCATAGACCTACTGATGAAAACAACGTTCTTGTCGACTGAATTTTCGGGTATTAATCTCCTACCAGGAGGTCCACTTATCGACTTAGAATATGCAGATGATACAGTCCTATTTGGTAAAGATGCTATTAAAGTGCAGAGTCTTTTGGTAACACTGATCAACAATGCCAGAATGTTTGGGATGCGTTTTTCCCCTTCTAAATGCAGACTGTTGCTTCAACACTGGCCTGCGTCAACACTTGAACTATGGATAGGGAGTGAAGTAGTCGAACGCGTTGATAACTCCACTTATCTTGGAAGTCTGATCAGCCCAAATTGGTTGGTTTCTGACGAAATTTCAGCACGAACTCAGGAATCTCGTTTGGCTTCTACCACCTTACGTCACTTATGGCGAGAGCGAGATATCCGTCTATGAATAAAAGGAAGAGTATACTGAGTGTCAGTCCGTTCTGTTTTACTTTACGGCAGCGAAACATGGCCTTTAAGAGTAAAATACACTCGTAAGCTATTAGTATTTGACCACAGATGCCTTAGAAATATTGCTCGCATCTGATGGGATCACCGGGTAAGTAATAGTGAGGTTAGACGCAGGGTATTAGGGAATGATGGTAAATCAGTTGATGAGGTTGTGAATTTTCATCGACTGAGATGGTTGGGCCATGTGTTACGTATGCCTGAACACCGATTACCACGACGTGCAATGCTAACCGGTGTTGGAGATGGTTGGAAGAAAGTTAGGGGCGGCCAAACCAAAACGTGGCATCAGTGCTTGAAGTCACTAACCTCTAGTCTGAGCCATGTTGCTAGATGCAGACTACTTGGTTGGGGTCGTTGTGACTATCGTAACCAATGGTTGGAGACTATTGGTGACATGGCTCAGAATCGATCACAATGGCGTCGGTGTATACACTCTCTATCTTCCCTTAAACTAAGAGATTAAAATTACTTCATATCTTTCTTTCTACGAACTAATTCTTTTTTCATGTACTATATCCTTATTGCAATCTTTCTCCTATATATTACCACCTTTGCTGCAGTTGATTTTCTTTAGGGGTTAGCTGAAACTTTTATAATCTTATTTTCTTAGTATTCAGTTTTCACTGGCATCTTCAAACAGAGGACCTAATTTGTGCGTAAGTAAATAGCAAAGTACCCAAATTAGTTTTTCAGTGATACGTAACCGACCAATTTTCAGTTTTAATAACTTAAGATTTTAGTCCCAGAACCTTTCAAACCGTTTCTTCTCGTACATTTAAATTTTGTTTAACAATTCATCCTTATTCTTCTTTCAAGTCTCACAGGCGCCAGCTTCATGAGTCGTATATTCCACTGATTTTCTATGGATTCCTTTTTAAGTTACAATGACTTAGAATTGTTTCACGTCAATTGTTTTTTATCAAACAGTCTTCGTTTATTGTTATTTGGTACAATAGATAAGTTAATTGAGTGATTCATAATTACTGTTTTCTCCCAACCTTCTAGGTTCTCGTTGCTTATGGTCTATATTCATCACTTCAGAAACCAGATGAAACGCATCCGTAAGCTCTTTTCTTTTATTTATGTTCCTTTAGATGTGTGATTTCATTGGTTACTATGTATTTTCATTACTTGGTCTTATGTAAATTAGCTTTCAGTCAGTCAGTCAGTCAGCTACAACGTAGGACCAGGCACATATGTGCATCGGTCCAGGTTGCCATACCTCATTAGCACAACAAGATGAACACCGGATTCATAGGAGTGGTTAGGTCAAAGGTTGCTATAAGGATATAGTATAGGAAGGAAGAATTAGTTCGTAGAAAGAAAGATATGAAGTGATTTTAATCTCTTAGTTTAAGGCAAGACAGGGAGTGTATACACCGACGCCATTGTGATCGATTCTGAGCCATGTCACCAAGAGTCTCCAACCATTGGTTACGATAGTCACGCGGACCCCAACCAAGTAGTCTGCATCTAGCTTTATGCATGCTTTAATCATTAGTATTTAAACTGTTCAACAATAGGATCTACTGCAATGTAGCTTGTAATTTGAACTTTGTTAGAAGTAATGTTTTTCAGTATTAACTCGAACAGCTTATTAAGTACGTCACTTTTTTACTATTTTTTCGCAGACACAGTTTGATCATGTATTTCTCTTTACTTAGGTGTAGGTACTGTTTCTAGTTCTGACAAATCACAAACTATAAGTCCATCAAGGAAAATCTCAAAAAGGTACATATAATTAATAACATGATCTAACACAAACGTACGTCAATGTGGATTATCAAGTACTTCCTTGTTCGCCAAAACTACAATGTACTAGGTAAATAACCAGAGAATTTAAGGCGTTCCTAGAAAATACATTTAACATCGGCTTAGCGAATACGACTACAATGAAGTGCAGATAATAATACCAACAATGGTTAAAAAATTCTAGGTAAGAAAAAGAAGAAATGGATTCATTCGAGTAATCAGTCAGTCAGCTACAACGTAGGACCAGGCACATTTATGCATCGGTCCAAGTTGCCATACCTGATTAACACAACAAGATGGACACCGGATTCATAAAAGTAGTGGATTCAGAGGTGGTAATATATAAAAGAGAGATTGCAATAAGGATATAGTACATGAAAAAAGAATTAGTTCGTAGAAAGAAAGATATGAAGTAATTTTAATCTCTTAGTTTAAGGGAAGATAGAGAGTGTATACACCGACGCCATTGTGATCGATTCTGAGCCATGTCACCAATAGTCTCCAACCATTGGTTACGATAGTCACAACGACCCCAACCAAGTAGTCTGCATCTAGCAACATGGCTCAGACTAGAGGTTAGTGACTTCAAGCACTGATGCCACGTTTTGGTTTGGCCGCCCCTAACTTTCTTCCAACCATCTCCAACACCGGTTAGCATTGCACGTCGTGGTAATCGGTGTTCAGGCATACGTAACACATGGCCCAACCATCTCAGTCGATGAAAATTCACAACCTCATCAACTGATTTACCATCATTCCCTAATACCCTGCGTCTAACCTCACTATTACTTACCCGGTGATCCCATCAGATGCGAGCAATATTTCTAAGGCATCTGTGGTCAAATACTAATAGCTTACGAGTGTATTTTACTCTTAAAGGCCATGTTTCGCTGCCGTAAAGTAAAACAGAACGGACTGACACTCAGTATACTCTTCCTTTTATTCATAGACGGATATCTCGCTCTCGCCATAAGTGACGTAAGGTGGCAAAAGCCAAGCGAGCTTTTCGAATCCGTGCTGAGACATTCGAGTAATGAAGAGTAAATAACTTTACCAAGTTCAATCCTCAGGAATGAATAAGTAATAAATCTATCTGCTTCATTGCCACCGTCTTTGTATCCATTTGGTTCGTTATCTCCTAGTTCACAGTTAGACCATATAGCTGTCATAAGAATAAATATCAACTACCTGGGTTTTTTATTCATTTAAGCAAAGAAAACCATTGCTGTCCTAATTATTATGGGACTATTTCCTTTTGAAGTAATTGGAATCTAGGTGCATTAGTATGAATTTCCGTTAACTTTGGAGAACTATGGCAAAGTATGGAATGCAGAGAGTAGAGCGAAGGCAATAATCATAGTTTATTAGTGTATTAGTTACAATTCAAAATAACAATCGATTCTCATGCACCGAAATTATTTGATCACCTATTATTATTTGTACATTTTAGCTATTTCAAGAAAAAAAACTATTACTGTGTAATAAAAATTAATAAGTTTGCTCATTAAATAATTTCTCAAATATAATAGTGGTAGTATTACACGATAAATAGTATTAACCTACTTTGTTGCAATATAGAAGTACATGTTTTAGTTGTTTATTTCTGTGTGATTAAACTCTGACGAATATTACGAAACAAATCGTGTTAAAATGTCAGTGCTAATTTATTCAGTCTCTAACTTGATGTTCCTCATGAGCGTATTCTAGAGTTACTTTATGTGCGTCGTATTTCTTTATTAAGTATAGTGTTAAAACAACACTAGATTTTCAATGGGAAATGTATTTCAATACAAGCTTCACTCGAACAGTCAGTCAGTAACAACGTAGAACTTCGTACATACGTACATCAGTTCGAGTTGCCACACCACACTAGCACAGAGATGCAATGGTCGACTCAAATCCCGTAGTGGTAGAGGTAATAAGAGTAAAAGCAGTAATCGGGAAGATTAGTGTTTGGAGATGTTACTTAAAGAGTATAATACAGTGAAATAAATTTGGGAAGAGAAAAAAAGAGACAAGGAGGAAAAACCAGATCAAAATTTGAAAGAACACAAAGAGTGGATGCACCTGCGCCATTGCAAACGATTTTGAGCCATGTCATTCAGGGTCTCTAACCATCGGTTTCTATCATCTCGCGGTCCCCAACCAGATAGTCTACACCTACCAACATGACTCAGTCCACTTATCAGTGACTTCATGGACTTGTGCCATGTTTTGGTCTGGCCGCCCCTTGCTTTCTTCCAACCTACTCCTACACCAGAAAACACCACACGTCGAGGTAATCGGTGGTTGGGCATACGTAACACAAGTCTCAGCCATCTCAACTGATGAAGTTCTACTACTTCATGAATGGATTTGCCATCCTTACTTAGTACCCGTTTCCTAACAACTGCGTTACTTACTCGGTGGTCCCAGGATATACGAGCAATGCTTCGAAGACACCTATGATTGAACACTAGTAACCTACGAATATCCTCTACTCTTACCGGCCATGTTTCACTGACATAAAGTAGGACGGAATGAACTGCTACGCAGTAAGCCGAACTCGAACAGTACAATCCAAATTAGTGATTGGTAATGTTTAGTTCGCGATTAAACTAAGTTTTGCAGACTATTTGACTCAAAGTAGAATGTAATTTCTGTTTAACTTCTTAGTTGTAAACAGTTATCTTGTTATTTAAAAGAAAGAATAATGAGATTCAATTTTTTAGATTGTCATTTAAAGTTGAATATAGTGTATTTTGTGCCTAAGGAATTGAAATCGACCATGATTTAATATATTGATATCTTTATTACTAACTACAAAATACCACTGTTATTTGATTGTTTTTGTCTAATTTACCATATCATGATCGTGGCTGTACATCATTAAGAAATCCTTTATTAAGACAAAACAGCTATTTAGTGCTGTCTGTTTTTCGATGGCTGTCTAGATAATGCCACTCTGTAATGTAAACCACAAATTGGTAAATCTCCGCAAATTTTCTCTTTTGGTAATAATTTTATTCTCACTAGTTAATAGTTGTGAAAAGTATTTCCGGTGCTCTGGTAGGAGGCCGTGCTCAGCGGAATTCAGTCCAGACCTTGGTTCGGTCCTTATTAGGGTCGGGGATGTGCACTTCTGAGGAGTCTCGTGCTATAAAGAAACAGCTACTCTTTGGAATCTGATTATCAGTTGTCTAGCCAATGTTACTTCGTGGTTCAAACTAACAATAGCAATTTTCTTATTCACGATCAAGAACAGTCCGTTTTGAGATATTGTATAAGTGATTTTTCAGTTTCATTGAAAAGCCACTTTTCTTGTTTGGTTTGATTTTCCTTTTGAATATCATTAATCTCAACAAAGTATTTTGCAATAATACTTGATTATTAGGTACGGTTATATTCCAATGCGTAATGTATCATCGTTGATAAGTGGTGTTGCCATTTTTTTCCTGGGAGCTGGTCTTACATTTTATCATAGTGTCCAGGGCATTTTGGCACCTCATGAATTTGAATCTGTTAATCTGGTAATTAGTTTTGTTAATGTTTTATTCTTGCAATAAATGAATAATTAATAAATACTTGACAGGATTTAAGGTCAATGATTTTAGTTTCACGTATGCTTCAGCTACATAAATGATCTGATGCGAAAATTTGTCTGTCTTCCAAACGGTGCTTATTATTATGTATTAATATTTCATGATTAAAATATAATAGTGAATAATAAGATTCTTGTGAATATTACTTAACAGTAAAATATGGTAAAAGTAGAGACATCTTCAAGAGTAAGATTTAGCAGAATTTTTTTGTAAATATAAATTCAAGAAAACCAAAGGTTATGTAATATAAAGGGGACTAGACATAGAGCTATCGATATACCTAATTACTTGCTGTAAATTACATCGAAACAGAATCTGAGGCTCACTGTCTCAAATCCATTGCATATTGTAAGGTAAGGATATTACTGACCTACCTTCTATTTTGATGTTATACAAAAAGATGCTTTTAAATGCGGCTACAAATGAGACCTCAAGTAACGCTACCGTTGTAGCCATAAATTCAACTGGGATATTATAAAGTCAAATATATTTAAGTTTGGTCGAGCATGTTCTAGAAATTGAACATTTAAAGCGCAGTTATGAATGCCGAAATTAATCTTTAACTGATTTTTGTAGCATCCGAATCGAGCATCACATGTAATATTTGGTTGTGAGTTGCACGCAAACTCTCCATTTGTAATACTTATGCAAATCTTCAAAAGCTATTAAACGTGAATTTTTGTACTGCCAAGCAATTAGATCAGTTTCCCATGTTTTGTATACTTGAAGAAAGAGCAGAAAATATGTCTTCACAGTCATTTTATACTAGCACTGAAAAATACTAAATCTACCTGATATGTTGTCCGTATACGGTTCGTAAGCCGACAAGTGTATAAATGCACTCACACATTTTTGTACTGTAAAGGAGCATGACTCAAAGAGAATAAATTTACAGAGAACCATATGTTCACAGCTGAGTTGGGAAATATCAAATCAATTGCAGTATTTATGAGTTAACTCATGTTTTTATAGATGAGATTACTTTAAAAATTACCAATTACTTATCCTTGCATTAGTTTATGTCTATCTCGTATTTTCCTTATCTAGGCTTTGATGGTCATGCTAGGTTCGCTTTTATCCGAAGGAAGTAAGTTGTTTTTAGGCAACCATTTATGATCATATATGATATGACTAGGTCTTCACAAAATTATCATTAATTCTATTAATCCTAATAATGAGTTGTTTTATTCATAAAAGCAGTAAAACATAGATTATGTAAGGGATGTAGTTGTGCAAAATATAATTCCTTTATTCTACACTACCGTCACATTTTCTTCATTGTAATTTACGGTTGAATTCCTCTGAGACATTTGAATTCGATGGAAACAGTTATATGTTTAAGCCTATTTAATTTTAGATTTATAAAGTTCCAATAACTTAATCAAGTGTGGTATGTTGAAAGGCATTCATTTTTCAAACTACTGAAACTCATACAACTGCTTCTCAGTGCATATTGATATTAGTCTCTAAATCGAAGTAGCATATCTAATCCTCTTCCAGAGCATTCTAATCCAATGAAAATGAAAAGAATGTGTTCACGACAAAGAACTAATCACTTTGGATACTAGTTTTTGACATTTTATCAGTATGAGTTGAGAGAAGGGTGTTAAGTATTTATAATATGTCCAACTGTTTGTACGAAAACTGTTTAATTAAGGTTCGAAACTGATAGAAGGTAATGTACGCATTGATGAAATTAACTGGAGAAACGTTATTTGATATCATTCCCAAAAAATACTACAGTGGTACATACCATGTGCTTTGTTACTATGTTTTTTGGTAGTGGATTATCATTATGACATTTCTAGGGATCACAGTATATTTCAAATCTGAAATTTTCTATCCATATCATTTTTAGCAGGTCTTTTTCTCACCTTTTCTCTACCGTTTTAATTTATTTCCAAATTATCTCAACCTTTCTTAAGGCACCTTGGCGTTGGCTTATCGCGAAGCTAAAAGAAGTTCAAAACGTCAAAACTTCTATTCTGTTAGACATTGGTTGTTTTCCGGAGTTGATCCAAGTACTAGTATGGTTTTATTAGAAGATTTGGCTGCTGTCATTGGTGTTGTTGTGGCAGGGTCAGCTATGGCTGTAACTGCTTTCACTGGACATGTTTTACCTGATGCGATTGGAGGGATTTGTGTTAGTGCAATTCTCGCTACAGTGGCTGGTCTGATCATACATACGAATACTGAAATGTTAATAGGAAGGTAGGTTGTATTATGTTAGTTGATAATAAAGAAAGACTTCACTGCTTGACGTATATTTCTTTCAATTATTGTTTATTGACCGTTTATCCAATCTACATATGAATTTATGTAACTATTTGTAAAACTAAATGGTCTAAAATGCGCTGAGTTATTACGTCGTCTCATCTTTCTGACAAATTTTGTCTCATCATTGGACCTAAATTTCATCATATAAGGGTAGGGTAACTGCTTCAAATATTTTCTTTATTAATAGTTTTACTGTAAAAGTAACTACGATCAGTGGTTTGCTTTAAATTTCTGTTATCTTAATTCTAGTCATTTTTCATTGTTCATTTTGTTTTTTTAGAAGTGTCTATATTTGATGTTATCTTAGTTACTGACCGCCCTCTGGAGCACTCAGATTGTGAAGTTTATTTAAACTAATTATTGGCCATTTAGAGTTCTATTCATAGGTTATTACGTTATAGACTAATCTTGGATTTCTTAGTAACGAATGAGAGTAAATATGGCCGTATTACATACCAAACTATCGTAATAAGCTTTAAAAATGTTTGGCACAGTAGTCTGTTAAGTCCTTGTGTCTTTTGGCTGTTAATGTGCATCTACAATTCCGTCAATTTAATATTTACTTCCTTTTCTCTCCTCACGTTTGCATGCGTTTCTTGGCTGTTCCGAGAGTTTAAAATACGCTATGACTAGATGGGAGAGTTAATGGTTTCATTATTTCCGACGTTTTGTTTGTTTTATGTCTTATTTGTCTAATATAGGTAATAGTTTCAGTTTTTAACTGTCCTTTGAATTGAGACTAAATTTCCTTTACATATGATTCTTTATATTCGTTAACTATGAATAGAGCTATTCCGGTTGAAAATCAAGAGGCAATTATGCGTGTGATGGATAACATAAAAATTATTCGCGGGACATACGACATAAAAACAACTATGATTGGTGGTGAAGAAATACGATTCAAAGCAGAAGTTGATATTGATGGTCGAGAACTTACTAAACGTTACCTAGAAACTTTATCATTAGACGATCTTCTTCAGGTAAGCATATTTATCAATAGTCAACTAAATATTACTTTTGAAAGAGTTTGTACTTCCATTGGTTTTCGAATGTTTTAAGCTTTTTTTATTTCCGATACATTTTATTAATCTAAACCTGAAAGTTCCATATTCAGCCTATATTAAACATATCAATACACTGATATTGTTTTAAATAGTGATCAGTAGATTTTGTGTTCAAATTTTCGTCACTTTTTACATCATTGTTTGTCGAATGATTAATTAATAGAAAAGTTGTCCTAACTCTTTATTGAGCGTTTTACAGGAAGCATGTTTTCTTTGCAGAAACATATACTGCTTTCTTTTCCATGTATTACTTATGCATTGTTAACAATTTCTTACACTGAGTGGGTAAATAAAAGCATTGATTTGGTAATCCAACTTCACAAAATTATACTATTGAAGTATTCCGAAGAATAAACGGGTTTCAAAAGTGAGTATACAATGTAACCATAATTAGGTTTAATCAAAGCGATGGTAAAATTGCCTTGTATATATATAATCAAACAAAACGCGTGATATCTGATAAGACGGAAAGGTTAATATCAGTAAGCAGCCATAAAGTGATTTAGACTGCGAACAGTAACTCTTTTTAAAAATAATGATAATACTATCTCGTGAATGAAATTTGTATGAGTTGAATGGATTCATTGTTATTTATCGTTAAACGACTGTCTTTTCAAGCACTTTATCATCAGTTCAAAGTGTAAGACGTAAATTAAAAACATCAAATTGTTTTCTGTTAGTTATCAGTTTAAAAAAATAGACTAAAGCAGCTCAAGTATAATATTCATTTTTGTTTCACTATTCCCTTACGCGTTTACTTAAATTACTTATCTTATGTCTTAGAGGTAATATAAGTTTTTTCGTACATTGTTTTACGTCATCTTTCTTCCTACTTTTTAAGTCCGAGGCTTATTTATGTGTTATGATATTTGTCCCTATTGTTACAATGGGCCTTAGATTAAAATATCCCCAATTTGTTTCAGCTTGGTTTCCTTCTTGTTAGAGGAAGCGAATTTGTTCATTACCTTGAAACAGCAGTCATCATATTCCAGAAGATTTATTTTACTTATCTAAAACACAGATTTCATTTTTGTTATGTCGACGTTCAAAATTATGTCAGCCTGAATTTCAAAATATCTGATTGAAGCGACTCAGTTTTACTTTTGCTTTATAAATTTATAGGAGGTGAAAAATGTCAAAACTGAACAGCAACTGGCTCATTTTATGTTGAAACATGGTGATAATTTAGTGAACACACTAGGCGCAGAAATTAATAAAATTGAAGAGAAAATTAAGGTAATACACCTTTTTATTCACTTTTCTATAATTTGAAGCAACCTTCGTCAGTGACTGACGTCAGATAGTGAACCGTTAAAAACCATAATGGGCTATTTCTATTAGGTTTGTTACTTACCACAAAGAACCCCATCCAGTATCTAGACTTGGATCGTCGTTATAAAGTATGTAAGTGTGAAACAGTTACCAACTGATAAAGCTCGGTGGTCTTTACTTCGTATTACAAATTGTATGAGGTCACAGTGAAGATTATAGGGAGATACGCCAACGAAGTTAACACACTCAAGAGCAGACATAAAAAAGCTTGGTTCATAAATAATTAGCAGCTAGTTTTGAAGTGATTCATTTGGATCTTGGGTACAGTTGCTAGTGACAACATATCAAGATATTAAACTGACAAGTCATGAATTGCATCAAAAATATGATTTTATAACGTAATGAAATTAATATCATTAATTAATTAACTGATTAGATATAGTAAATCTGATAGATATAAGTGTTCTTTAGATCTCTAAATTGTCACAACCATTTTTTAATCGAAGTTTGTGAATTCAAATCATCTCTGCGCGTAAATAGACCAGTATCGATCTGTATCCATCTCTTACGATCATATATGTCCTGGCACCTATTTGTACTTCTTGTTTGATTGTGTTGTTAAATCACTAAAGTTAATTACTCTGCTTCTTTTTGATTATTTCTGTTTTTATGCAATAAAATATCTCTAGATACTTGATTGTGGGACATCAGTTATTTGGCTGAATAGTTAATATCATACCTTAAGTATTCGTTCGTTTAAGGAAGATTTTCCACAACAGAACCGTGGGCGTCCCATAAAACATTGGGAATCCGGTTGTATCTAAAATAATTTGCTGATAGACCTTTTTTTCATGGTGACTTCATTAAGCTATAGGATTTAAGTTGCGATGTCTATGACTGGCACAAAAGTTAGTCCTTCCAGCTGACATGTGACTTCAAATATCATGACTGATTTCGAATACTTGGTTTTGTTAGCGTTTCCGGGAGTGTACCCAAATGCAGTACAATAAAGTTGTTCATAATTGTATTTTTGTGTTTATCCCAACCTATGAAGAGGAGTAAATTACAGCAATAAGAAAGTCTTCAATTACCTTATAAGGCATATAACTTTCGCCCTCCGGATCCATCAGTTGGAAGGATTAGATTTTGTACCGGTCACATATATCGTGGCCAAATGTTGTGGGCAAACCAAGTCATCTTTCTACATAGAGAATGAAAGGAAGATCAAAACAGTGACTCGTTATTTAAAAGATACCTAGAATGGTGGACTCGAAAGGCGCGTGCGCTGCTGTGACTCAATAGTTGCAGATATTTTAAAATAACTGGTAATTTAAGAGAGCTTAATCAGTCTCACAAAGTGGGCACTTATTAACGCATTTCTAAGTAAAATCATTTCATAATAAAATTGTCACCATCAACTTGTTTCTTACTTGAGTCGCGTTTAGAAAGTCAGTCGAATTTGACTAATATATGGAAAGTAGTCACTTAAGCCGATCAGTTACTCTTTCAAGTCCAATTATTTTGCGTTAGGTTGTGTATCACTGGTCAAATTTATTTGTTCTACGAATTCATTTACTTGCTTCCCTTTTGCAAAAATTCGATAGAAATTACTATGAATTATTTCTAAGAATGCAATAATATCAATAGTATATTTACGTTGCTTATTTTACCAAATTATGCGTCAACTAATCTACAGATTGTATTCCATTTTTTAGAAGGAATTCCCCAATGTAACTCATATCGATATTGAGATTAACTAAATACTGGATTTCCGATTTATTATCACTATTCATTTCGCGGACTTCCCTTGCTGCATGTTCCTGGCTTTTCTGTGATTTGAGATCCATATCGCACTGTGTATAATAATATAAAATATATGTACACAAAAACAAATTTAGTAAACATTTTTGCTACGTATTAAAATTCTTTTCCGGAAAATATGTTTAGTATGCATGCACTTTATATTGCCTCGAAGTTATCAGCACAAAAAACGTTCATGATAGCGATAACACTTACAGCGTTCTCTACAAGAATCTAGTTCGTGATTTGAATTTCAAGTTATACTCTAGAGTGGTAGGATGGTCGTTCGTTGCTTTAGCCTTCCCATCGTCTCCTTTCAGCTGTCTGTTTGCAGTGGCATTTCGCAAATGTCAAAGTCCTAGAGCCGGTAACGAAGTTTGTTCAACTAACCCCAGTCCTAAATCTAACTAATGCTAGGGTCGAACTTGTGAAAGTTGTTGTGGTTAGATGGGCACTGAAGACATCCTGTAAATATACATGATTCTTAGTTGTTTTGTAATACATCCACTAATAACCATGACATCTGGTTATCGACTACATCCTGATACACTCAGTCACTACCTAGTGATGGTTCTCCTTCTTTGCATTAGTTACCCACCACTACCTGGATATCTTGATTCAGTACAGTTAGTTTCTGCTGCTCATTATTTTAGGGGATAACCTAAATTTTATCTGCGGCTTCTGCTGACGTCAATCTAAATAATGATGATACCTAGACTTGGGAGATTGCTAGGTTCAAACAGTAACCAGCATGGGTGGAATTTGTGTTCACTGAACTCGAGTTTCAAAAACTTGAAATTGAGTCAACCTGAGCAACAATCAGTCTGGCGTCGGTATAAGGACTTCGCAGACATTCAGGGCTTGGTAACGATTTTATCCGCTATATTATAATCACAGAACTTCAGGCGTGAAATAGTCCAAATTTATATTTGAAAGATAGCAGTATTTTTTTATTATCATCAACTTTATTCAATATTGTATTTTTGGTACAATATAGAATCCTCAGCGCAAAGTATTTCTTCTTGGTCGGTCCTGGCGATAAATATTGAGTGATCGCCAGTTAGATGTTAGCAGTTCAGTAAATGGACATCTGAATAATGTACATTCTTTTCGTTGTATATTGCCAGCGACCACATTGTTTCTTATTGAGTTTTTTGTAACTTTGACAACGAAATGTACACTTTTCAGAAACGCAGCAGAATAGGTTATCAGTTTCAGTTTGGGAAGGACAGGAGGCTCGATGGCCTATGTTAGTCCTGGCAATGGTGGTCTCTCAGTTGATCCAACTTTCTTTTGAAAGAGTCGACGGATGGAGCCTCAACCACTTGCTGAGGTAATGAGTTCCACTCGTTGATGATTCGATGGGAAAGTCGATAGTCAGCTGACAAGTAATTTGTTCTCGGCTTATGAACTTTTTTGGAGTGTCTTCGTAAATTCTCTGTTTTGGAAGACAAGAAAAATGAGGGCATGTTAGGTGCAAATTTATCACTAAGCAATTTGTAGACTGTAATCAAGTCGCCTCTAGTTCTGCGATATGACAACGGGAAAAGGTTCAGCTTGGCCAGTCGAGATTCATACGGAAGCTTCGCTATTCTGGGAATCAGCTTAGTCGCCGTTCTCTGAACCTTTTCCAGAAGCTAACTGTCTTTTTTTAAACAGGGGCTAGCCGCTTGTATGCAGTACTCAAGTTTAGGACGAACGAACACTGTATACAAAGTCAAAAACGTCTTAGTGTCGACATGACTAAAAGCCCTACGTATTGACCATAACGTTCTAAAACTTTTGGCGGCTATTGCACGGCAGTGTGTAGTAGTCTTTAAGTCTTGACTAACGATAACTCCCAAGTCATTATATGTCTAGACGACAGGTAGCTCAGTGTTATTCATCGTGTATGTATCTGTGCCTTGATGGCCGATATGCATCACAACACACTTGGAAGTATTTATCGGCAACTGCCATGTGTAACGGAAAAAGAACAGTGAAAATCCCTCTGCAGCTTCTTTGTTGAACAGTATTTTCATTTATTTGTTCCTTCTCCCTTTAGTGTACTCCAACCTTTGTTTCGACCTCGTTTAACCATGTCTTTTGTTCTTCAGTCTTCCCCGTTTGAGTCTTTATTATGTGATTTTGATTAAAGACTTATTTTTGTTACCTAATTTTCTATTGCATGTTGCCGGACCATTGACAGTAAGGTTGTGTTTGACTAAGCTCAAGGTCACGGCGTGGTTCATTTTGTGACTGTTAACCCTCTGACTGTCTGCTTAGGAGAATTGCTGCAATCCCTGCAGATAGATATTTGATCCCATCTTATTGGGAATATTTGTATTGATTCTCAGGTATCAAACCCTTTAGTATTAACTGTCTCTTTCATTGTTTAGCGCGCTACTTTGCGTTAGAGAAACTTCTGACTGTATAGCACAGGCTGTACCGTTTGAGGTATTTTGTATTTTTGATGTAATTTGTTCTGTTTTCTTAATTAGAACCGTTTATATTGAGCACAGAGTTTGTGTTTTGATATAATATAATACGAGTATCTCAAAGACGCGTTGTGAGCTACACAGAGGAACTTGGTGTGGTCTAATCGAATAAATTTTGGGTTCGTCAGTCCGTAGTTCCAACCGAACATTGGCTGTTCGGTCGTTACACATGTTTGAGACCATTCAGATAACTTCTTCAGGTCATTTTGAAGTTCTAAGCTATCACTCTTACATCGTATCGTTCTCCATATCTTGACATCGTCAGCATATAGCAAGACCGATGATGATAGGAGACAAGGAAGGTCATTTACATACAAGAGGAATAGCACTGGCCCCAAAACTGTACCCTGGGGCACTCCACTAAGCACAGTTTCCCAGCTAGATAACTTTGAGTTCACCCTTACTCTTTGTTGACGCCCAACTAAGAAGTCTTTTATCCACATCAATAAATTGCCTCCAATCCCGACTTTTCTTAACTTATATAACAGCCGGTTGTGCGGAACTTTATCAAAAGCTTTACTGAAATCAATGAAGGCGAAGTCTACAGGTAGCTTTTGGTCCTTAAGAGCACACCAGCTTTCACGAGCCACTAATAAGTTAGTGAGACAAGAGTAACCTATTCTGAAACCGTGCTGCTTCTCCGAGAGGATCCGGTTTTTATCGAGATACTTAAACAGCTCCTTCCGAATAATCTTTTCTAGGATTTTAACAACCACACTAGTTAGGCTAACGGGGCGGTAGTTCTCAGGTTTGTGTTTCGTACCTGTTTTGAAGACAGGACTTACTATGGCGTTTTTCCAATCTTTCGGTAAGCGACCCTGCGTAACGGTTAGGTTAAAGCATGTACTTAAAGGGTTCGCAACGAAGTTAGATAATTCCTTCAGTAGCCTAGGATGTAATTCATCGGGCCCCGTGGATTTACCTATGTCAAGCTTATTTAGCAGACCAAAGACATCGAGTTCTTTAATGGTCACGCTATCCAGTGTATGTATGGGGGGATCTGTATACGCTGACGAGAAGGGCGCTTCTATGGTATACACGTTGCTAAAGTAGTTCGAGAACACTTGAGCCTTGCCAAAGTCGTCATCCACTAATGATGAAGTGGTACTGTCTCCTCATAGAGCAGGAATATTTCCTTTTCTCCTTGTCCTTTGGTTTATATAGGGATACAAGCGTTTAGGACATTCTATGGATTCCTTAACAAGTTTTCCTTCGTACAATTTTCTAGACTTACGGAGGGTCGAGGCACAAGTATTCCGAGCCTTTCGATACTGATACTTTGACTCATCAGTCCCCAGTAACCTAAATCTATTCCACATTTTCCTTTTCTTACGGAGAAGGATACGGACCTCCCTACTGAACCATGGTGGTGAGTGTTTCGGCCCCTTTGGTATAGTTCAAGGGATGTGAGGTGTGGTAACTTTTAAGTATGATTTTCGAAATGCGTCCCAGGCCGTTTCAATGGAGGACTCTGGGTCTATTGTCCAATCTATTAACGATGATGAGTGCATGATGTCTGGTATGTTTGCTTTCCAGACGTTGGGTCTGGACTGGACTGACGCGTCCTCATGACTGGCAGTTATATGGAAGTCGAAAGTTAAAACTGCGTGGTCACTTTTACCTAAGGGTGGCATATGGTGGAGGTTCGCAACATCATCCTCATAGTGAGTCAGTATAAGATCTAATAAGGATGATTCAGTGTCCGGATCGTACCTAGTCGCTTCTTTCACATGTTGCACTAGGGCACATGTGATAACCGCATCAACTAGTTCCTGCGATTAATAAACATGATGATATATTAAAACAAACAAAAATAGATAACTTGTTGAAATATGTAGATGGCAGGAACAGATGCCCGAGCAGGCCGCTCATTACGTCAGGAAGTGTGTAACATAAGCTGGTTAGTTGTCGTAAGCCATGCTCAGCGTATCTTATAGGTATGTGGTTCGGATGCAAAAGCCCCCAGCTCGAGCACGTCTTGTAAAACTAATGAGGTCAGATTTAGTGACGAAGATTCACTGAACGAATTATTTTGTAAGTAATTTACCACTATGGGCATAACCGTCGGGTTGTTAGACAGTTATCTCGTAACAGTATTTCAGAGCAAGTCACATCATTATTCAAGCGAAAATAATATTGAATCGACGTTTAGTAGTATGATGTTTACAATAGATAGCGACAACTGATAATGTCAATGAAACGCAAACATTTATTCCCTTAATTTTTAAAAAAAGGTGCATCAAAGTTATAAACAAGTGGGTTCGTATCCATTGTTAAGAAACATTATGAGTTCAATCTGTAATTAAAGGTGTGCATAGGATTTGTAGCTGACTTGAACAGTTTTGACTCAGCTTTGTGTTCTGAGCTAGACAGTTTTGTCGTGGAGCTTTAATTGTTATTCTGAACGTCATTATAGGCACAAACTTCAGGTTGGAGTGTAGTGTTCGAAATTCCCTATATATGAAACAATTTGTCCCGCCAAC